GATTATGCCAGATCCACAACATGCATATTTTTACTTATGTGGCAGCCTATGTGCAAATAATTATTCTGCATCATATCGAAGATATGTACCCTATATATGCAGCTAGCAGTTTTATAGCAAAATAAAGGAATCTATCCACGGGAAGGTGAGAAAAGAAATATTGTACTCTGAATTTGCATGGTTTCTTGCAACACACCGCGAGAATATCTGAGGGCGAGGCCAGCATACAGCGTCTCGTCCATCTGGGTGCCCATGTCGGACTCCGGCATGCAGGCCGGCATCTCTTCACCTATATGTTTGCACTGCTGGGTTTTGTTATCGGACAAAAGCACCGGCAGAGCTGCTCGTGGAGATCAATTAGCCCAGACTGTTGTATGCGGGTGTCCGGCTGATTGAAAGCTAGCTTTCATTGGATTGAATCGATCTAGAAACCTTCCTCCAAAGCCAGATCGTATACTTGTGGGGGATCTAGCTGAGCATGTACGTGTGTTGGCGTCGTACGTGCAGACATGCCTGCAGCAGCCCCGGTTGGAGGCAATCCAGGGTGCATATTAGCGTCAAGCCCATGCAATCTGACGCCCGCTTCGTGCAGCAACACTGATCACGGTTGGAGAGGTCGGGGTGCAGTCTCGTATGGAGGCCGGTCAGTATAGGATGCACGCCCCCACTCAAGTCCATTCAATATGAAACTTCAAAGTTGACAATAGCATGGAGGAGCGCCATGCTAGGGTTTCTCAAGGATGCTTCGGTGTCTTGGTGGGCGAAGGAACCTTCAACGGAGGTGGGTTCTCAAGCTTTGCATCGGTGCCGCACGAAGGAATCTTCAACGTTTTTTTTTCATCCGTGTGAAGTATCAGGCGAGGAGTCTGTTTTGTGTATTTCATCTGACGGCTGTAAATAACTAATAAGAATATCTGATGGACAGTTTTGCTTAGTTTTGAGGATTAACGTGGAGCCTCTAATGATGCATCCAATTAGTAAATATAAGATATAAGATATAAGATATAAGATAGCTCATATCTATTCCTATTGGTGGCAGAGGGTTTATCTATCTTACTTTCGGATGCAGAAGAGAGAGGAATGTTAGAAGGGGTGAAGGTCTGCCGAGATGCACCCTCGGTTTCACATCTTCTATTTGCTGACGATTCTTTGATTTTGATGAAAGCGGATGGGGTCAATGCAAATTCTTTAAGAGATGTTCTGAATCATACTGTAGTGCGTCTGGACAAATGGTAAGTGAAGCCAAATGTAGTATATATTTTAGTCCAAATACAACAATTGAAAAAAGAGTTGAGGTGTGCACAACTCTTAATATTCTTGTGGAGGATTTGACTGAAAAATACCTGGGTCTACCATTGTTGGTGGGGGCAGACAAGAGTGATAATTTCCAATACCTGGTGGATAGGATTTGTCAATTGGTGCAAGGGTGGAAAGAAAAAACTTTATCTATGGGGGGCAAAGAGGTTCTGCTTAAAGCTGTAGCCCAAGCTCTTCCGGCATATGCAATGTCTGTATTCAGGGTTTCGAAAAAAATATGCAAAGGAATCACGGATGCAATAGCGCAGTGTTGGTGGGGTGATGACATGAGTAATAAGAAGATGCATTGGTTTGCCTGGTGGAAGCTTTGTGTCCCAAAATCTCGGGGAGGGATGGGGTTTAGAGACCCTCATTGTTTTAATTTGGCGATGCTTGCGAAACAAATTTGGAGATTACTAGAGGCACCAGATAGCTTGTGTGCAAGAGTTCTGAGGAGTAAGTATTACCCTGATGGTAAGATTCTTAATGCAAAACTTAAACCTGGTTCTTCCTTCACGTGGCAGAGTATATTGTCTGGTCTCAACACTTTTAATAAAGGGGCGATATGGCGTGTTGGAGATGGACAACAGATTGTGATCTGGGAGGATGCATGGCTTCCATGTAGTAATTCTGGAAGGGTGTTAACACCTAAGGGTCATTGCTTACTAAAATATGTCTATGAACTGATTGATCCTTGCACAGGGAAATGGGATGTTGATCTGATTCGTAGTATCTTTTGGGAGGTTGATGTCCAACAAATATTGGCGACTCCATTGAGTCAGCATGGTATGGGCGATTTTGTGGCATGGAAATTTAACAAGAATGGCCTCTTCTCAGTTCGTTCCGCATATCATATGGAGTGGGAATCGACATTCGGTGTATCCATGGAACAATCGGATGGGGCGGGGTCATCAGGGCTAAACAATGTTTGGAGAGACATGCGGAAATGTACAGTACCAGCAAAGGTGAAAATTTTCGCCTGGAAATGTTTACATGGCATTCTTCCTTGTTATGGTGTATTGGCCAACCGTCATATTATGAATAATTACCTATGCCCTGTTTGCAAAAAATATTGTGAGGATATTAAGCATGTTCTATTTCAGTGTGCGGAAGCAAAGGAAATTTGGGTCAAACTCGGTTTGATAGAAGTGGTCAAAGAAGCTTGCGAGGTCGATCGGTCTGGTAGTGTTGTTCTGGATTATTTGTTAGCAGGGAGGTTTAAGAATCCAACTGATGCATCTGTGAAGTACATAAGAGAAACAATTTTGACGTCGGCTTGGTACATTTGGTGGAGAAGAAGACAGACGGTACATGCAGAAAGTTTGCAGTCCTCGTCACATGCAGCGCTATCAATTCAAGTTTTGGTGTCAAATTTTGTTAAAGCTTCAGGTAAAGTGTCCCAACCAAAGTCGAGTATCTGGAATCGGGCGACCACTGGATTTATCTCTGTAAATGTTGATGCAAAGTTTGATATTGACTTGGGCTCTGGAGCTACTGGCGTGGTGATTAGAGATGATAAGGGAAGATTCCTAGCAGCAGGCTCCCAGATCATTCCCTTCGCGATAGATGCGGCAACTACTGAAGCACAAGCAGTTTTGGACGGAATTCATCTTGCAAACCAACTTGGGTGTCAGAAATTGGTAATCCAATCAGATTGTTTAGAAGTTATTAATATTCTTCATAATGGAGGTTTTTCTGCGACAACTGCAGCGCCAATATTCGAGGACATATGTATACAGGCAAGTTCGTTCGGCAACGTTCAGTTCACATATTGTCCAAGGGAAGCAAACCGTGTCGCACATACGCTAGCCCAGGAGTGTAATTCAGAGAAGTGTTTTTGGGCAGATGAACCACCTAGCTTTATTTTATCGTTGTTAATTGACGATGTTAGTGTGATTTAAATTAATAAAACTAGCCATTTTGGCATTCAAAAAAAAGATATAAGATAGCTCATCATTAACTCCTTGGCTGCCTTCGATGGTAGTAATCACCTTGGATAGTACAGGCCGAAAGGAACATCAATAATTAACTACAGTAACTAACATCTCATTAATGGAGCAAGTGGTGTTACGGGCATTTGAAACAAGTTAAGGTACAGTCACATAGCTTGGAAGCTTCTTCCGGTGATATATCTTGGAGAGACCGAAGTGTGGGTCGCCCATGAAAACAAACACGGCGAAATAATATGCGTGAGCACGTGTTGGTTCATCGATCACCTCTGTACATATAGCTTTCCACACCAGCTGGTTCATCGTTCATCGATCACCTCCCAACCAATTATCCATCGATCTATATATTGGTGAAACTGAAATGGCTGGGGAAATAAACGAGGTGAAGCTGCTGGGGATGTGGGCGAGCCCGTACATGGCGAGAGTGAAGCTGGCGCTTCACATCAAGGACGTGAGCTACGAATACGTCGAGGAGGACCTCACCAACAAGAGCGAGCTGCTCCTCCGCTCCAACCCCGTCCGCAACATGGTGCCCGTGCTCATCCACGACGGGAAGCCCATCTGCGAGCCGCAGGTCATCATCCAGTACATTGATGAGGCCTTCGCCCCCGCTGGCAAGGCCCTCCTCCCCGCCGACCTCTACGAGCGCGCCGTGGCCCGCTTCTGGGCCGCCTACATCGACGACAAGGTGCTGCCGCCGTGGGAAATGATCTTGAAGGCAAAGACGGACGAGGAGAGGGCGGAGTGGGCGAAACAGACCTTTGGAGCGATGGATGCGCTGGAGGACGGATTCAGGAAGTGCTCCATGGGCAAGGGGTTCTTCGGTGGCGATGACGTCGGCTACCTCGACGTCCTTCTCGGGGGCATGGTCCCGTGGCTGTACGCGACCGATCGAGAAGATCTCTGGCCACAACTTCTTTGATGCCAGCAAGGTGCCGCTGCTAGCGGCATGGGTGGAGCGTTTTGTCGATCTTGACGCCGCCAAGGCGGTGTTCCAGGAGCAGGACGTGGACAGCCTGGTTGAATTCGCTCGGATGGTACAACCGGTAGGCATGGCGACCTGCTCCGTTGGGTGATTGATGCAAGGATCAGTAAGCTGCAGGGAACTACCGTGTGGATACTCGTGCATTTTATTATAATTTAAAAATAAAAAGGGTGGATAAATATCAAGTACCTGAAAAACATGGTGATCTTTCGAGATCCGATGAGGGCAACTGTTCAAGGTTGCTTTAATATGCGTGCTACTTTTTTTTTTACAGTTCTTGGAATTTGTCTTGTTTCATAGCATTGGGTTTTCTTCTCGTTCCAAAGTGTATCTTAATTTTTCATGGTGTATCATCACGTATTCTCGCATTTGAATTCAAATAAGTTAGCCATGTTTTCCATTGCATTGCATTGCACAAAATGAACGGGCGGTTAGTCCGTAGTAGGTTTGTGTCAATATCTCCACATGTGAAGACCACAAGTGGGTATGAAATGAATTGTAAGTTATAGGCCGCATAGGTCCACACCCCAGCCATTGCAATTGCAATGAATTGAACTTAGATATGATATTCTTAATAACACGCAAAAAATCATCAATATTATACTAATTCTTGACGATTTTTGTTCTATGAACAGTTATATTTTGGTTATATTGCACTAAAGGTAACCAGGGCCGCCACAATTTTACCTATTGGTGTAAGCATCGACAGGTTTCATCAGGACTTGTTCAATTGGTGATTGGATTGGAAAGTTGGATACAGAGTAGTGAGATAATCATTCTGGCCATCTCCTTGCTATAGTGCGGCCTCTAGTTAGGTATGAGGTGTGACAAGTAGACTAATCGATATGATGAGTAGTTTAGATCTATGTCCTCGGTTCTCTCTAGTTTGTTATCTGGGATATAAACAACGTAAAATCGGTCGACATATTTTAATGTATTATGTGATGTACTTTACTTCTGCGATGAATGAGAATATTTATGCCTCGTAAGATGTACATGTGATCTTTTCTGGCATTTGAATTGCAACAAAATACTTTGGTAATTTTTTTACTATACTATATGAGCTTCTATCCAGAAAGCTGCTTCAACTACTACACTACATGAGCTTCTATCGAGAAAGCCGCTTCAAATGATTACTTTAGGTGGTTATATATTGGAAGAGGCTTGTGGATTTACAGAAGTTGGAGGCGGTTATGCACACGAAACCCCTCGCTTCGTTAAGAAATTAGAGGTGGTTTCGAAACCACTTTCGCTATGCTCAGTATTAGTGCTACGTCTTGAGCTTGCGTTGGTTTTCCTTGAAGAGGAAAGGGTGATGCAGCAATAGTAGCGTAAGTATTTCCCTCAATTTTTGAGAACCAAGGTATCAATCCAGTAGGAGGCTCCTCAAAAGTCCCACGCACCTACACAAACAAACAAAGAACTCGCAACCAACGCAATAAAGGGGTTGTCAATCCCTTCACGGCCACTTGCAAAAGTGAGATCTAATAGAGATAGTATAATAAGATAAATATATTTTTGGTATTTTATAATATAGATGCAAAAAGTAAAGATGCAAATAAAAGTAGATTGGAAGCAAATATGATAAGAGATAGACCCGGGGGCCATAGGTTTCACTAGAGGCTTCTCTCAAGATAGCATAAGTATTACGATGGGTGAACAAATTACTGTCGAGCAATTGATAGAAAAGCGAATAGTTATGAGATTATCTAGGCATGATCATGTATATAGGCATCACGCTCGTAACAAGTAGACCGACTCCTGCCTGCATCTACTACTATTACTCCACACATCGACCGACTCCTGCCTGCATCTAGAGTATTAAGTTCATAAAGAACAGAGTAACGCATTAAGCAAGATGACATGAAGTAGAGGGATAAACTCAAGCAATATGATGTAAACCCCATCTTTTTATCCTCGATGGCAATAATACAATACGTGCCTTGCTGCCCCTGCTGTCACTGGGAAAAGACACTGCAAGATTGAACCCAAAGCTAAGCACTTCTCCCATGGCAAGAAATATCAATCTAGTAGGCCAAACCAAACTGATAATTCGAAGAGACTTGCAAAGATAACTCATTCATACATAAAAGAATCCAGAGGAGATTTAAATATTTCTCATAGATAAACTTGATCATAAACCCACAATTCATCGGATCTCGACAAACACACCGCAAAAAGAGTTTACATCAAATAGATCTCCACAAGAGAGGGGGAGAACATTGTATTGAGATCCAAAAAGAGAGAAGAAGCCATCTAGCTAATAACTATGGACCCGTAGGTCTGTGGTAAACTACTCACAACTCATCGGAGGGGCAAGGGTGTTGATGTAGAAGCCCTCCATGGTCGATTCCCCCTCCGGCAGAGTGCCGGTGAAGGCTCCAAGATGTGATCTCGCGGATACAGAAGGTTACGGCGGTGGAAATTGTATTTCGTTGGCTCCCTTGATGTTTTCGGGGTACATAGGCTTATATAGGAAGAAGAAGTACGTCGGTGGTCGCCCGAGGGGCCCACGAGACAGGGGGGCGCGCCCTATAGGGGGGGCGCCCTCCTATCTTGTGGAGGTCTCGGCTGCTTCTTGACTTGCACTCCAAGTCCTCTGAATCATGTTCGTTCCAAAAATCACGCTCCCGAAGGTTTCATTCCGTTTGGACTCCGTTTGATATTCCTTTTCTTCGAAATACTGAAATAGGCAAAAAAAACAGCAATACGGGTTGGGCCTCCGGTTAGTAGGTTAGTCTCAAAAATGATATAAATGTGTAAAACAAAGTCCATAAACATCCAAAAGGGGTAATATAATAGCATGGAACAATAAAAAATTATAGATACATTGAAGACGTATCAAGCATCCCCAAGCTTAATTCCTGCTCGTCCTCGAGTAGGTAAATGATAAAAAGAGAATTTTTGATGTGGAATGCTACCTAGCATAATTCTTAATGTAATTTTCTTTATTGTGGCATGAATGTTCAGATCCAAATGATTTAAAATAAAAGTTCATATTGATAAAAGAAATAGTAACACTTCAAGCATATTAATCAAAGTAATCATGTCTTCTCAAAATAACATGGCAAAAGAAAGTTCATCCCTACGAAATCATATAGTTAGGCTATGCTTCATTTTCGTCACACAAAGATGTTCCCAACTTCTATACCCCCGATGACAAGCCAAGCAATTGTTTCGTACTTAAATAATCTCAAACTTTTTCAACCTTCACGCAATACATGAGCGTGAGCCATGGATATAGCACTATGGGTGGAATAGAATATGATGATGGGGATTGTGTGGAGAAGACAAAAAAAGGAGAAAGTCTCACATTGACGAGGATAATCAATGGGCTATGGAGCTGCCCATCAATTGATGTCAATATGAGGAGTAGGGATTTCCATGCAACGGATGCACTAGAGCTATGAATGCTCAATAAAAGAAAACTAGTGGGTGTGCATCCAACTTGCTTGCTCACGAAGACCTAGGGCGATTTCAGGAAGCCCATCGTAGGAATATACAAGCCAAGTTCTATAATGAAAAATTCCCACTAGTATAAAAAGGACAACTTTATGAGACTCACTACATGAAGAACAATGTGCTACTTTGAAGCACAATATATGAGACTCACTACATGGGGAACAAGGTGCTACTTTTAAGCACAAGTGTGGAAAAGAGATAGTAGCATTGCCCTCTCTTTTTTGGCCTTTTTTTGGCCTTTCTCTCTTTTTTTTCTTTTTTTTGGAGGGGCAATGCTCTAATAATGATGATTATCACACTTCTATTGGTTACAACATAAGGATTACAACTCGAAACTTAGAACAAGATATGACTCTATATGAATGCCTCCGGCGGTGTACCGGGATGGTGCAATTAATCAAGAGTGACATGTAGGAAAAATAATGCATGGTGGCATTGCCACAAATACGATGTCAACTACATGATCATGCAATGGCAATATGACAAAAGTAATGTATGTCATGATGATGATGATGGAAGTTGCATGGCAATATATCTCGGAATGGCTATGGAAATGCCATGATAGGTAGGTATGGTGGCTGTTTTGAGGAAGATATAAGGAGGTTCATGTGTTATGGAGCGTATCGTATCACGGGGTTTGGATGCATCGGCGAAGTTTACACGAACTCTCAAGGTAAGAAAGGGCAATGCACGGTACCGAAGAGGCTAGCAAAGGCGGAAAGGTGAGAGTGCGTATAATCCATGGACTCAACATTAGTTAAAAGAACTCATATACTTATTGCAAAAATTTAGAAGTCAACAAAAATCAAGTACTACGCGCATGCTCCTAGGGGGATAGATTGGTAGGAAAAGACCATCGCTCGTCCCCGACCGCCACTCATAAGGATGCACAAGCCAGGTACACTTCATGTTTTAAATTTGTTACACAACTTTAACCATACGTGCATGCTACGGGACTTGCAAACTTCAACACAAGCATTCTTCAAATTCGTAATCACCCAACTAGCACGACTTTGATATTATCACCTCCATATCTCAAAACAATTATCAAGCATCAAACTTATCTTAGTATTCAATTCACTCAAAAGAAAGTTTCACATATCTTGAATACCAAGCATATTAACATTAAGAAAATTACCATGCTATTAACGACTCTCAAAATAATATAAGTGAAGCATAAGAGTTCATCTATTTCTCCAAAATAAAACTACCACCATGCTCTAAAAGATATAAGTGAAACACTAGAGCAACAACAAACTACTCCGAAAGATATAAGTGAAGATCAATGAGTAGCTAAATAATTATGCAACTATGCGAAGACTCTCTCATTTAATAATCTCAGATCTTGATACTTTATTCAAACAGCAAGCAAAGCTAAATAAAATGACATGTCGCTCCAAGCAAAACACATATCATGTGGTGAATAAAAATATAGCTCCAAGTAAAGTTACCGATGAACGAAGACGAAAGAGGGG